GCAAAAGATGCAGTATCTAAAAACAAAAGTGAAAGGAGAAGCCGAAAAACTAATCCAACACTTACACGTCAGTTCTGACAACTACACCGTCTGTTGGGACATTCTCAATCAGAGATATAACAATAAAAAACTTATATTTACATCTCATGTAAATATCCTAATGAACATCCCGGTTGCGCATCAACAAACAGCAGCGCATCTTAAACGTATTCACGATAATACTCTGGAATGTCTCAACGCCATAAAAAATTTGGGAATTGACATCAGCTCGTGGGATCCTCTTCTTGTGCATATTTTAACACAAAAATTGGATGCCCAATCATATACAGATTACGTGGAGTCTGTAAACGACCCTAGAGAGCTACCAACACTTGAGGAATTATTACATTTCTTAGAAACCAAATTTACCATACTGGAATCAGCGCGTAGAAAACAAGATAACGTCATACCAAAAAATCAAGCATCAAATCAGGGGTCAAAGTATCAAAGTAATAATCAATTNCTTTACCATACTGGAATCAGCGCGTAGAAAACAAGATAACGTCATACCAAAAAATCAAGCATCAAATCAGGGGTCAAAGTATCAAAGTAATAATCAATTCAAACATTCATTTTCTACAAACACCAAAATAATTCCGCAACCTACCTACAACACTAAAGTAGTGTCATCAAAAAACACCAAGTGTTCGTTGTGCAATAACGAACACGGCATTTTTTTCTGTCCAAAATTTTTAGAAATGCCACCCTATAATAGACTCAAGACCGTAAACAGATTAAACTTGTGTCCTAATTGCCTCAATGGACACCATGGAAAACCATGTTTATCAGATTATGTTTGCCGCGAGTGCAATAAAGACCACAATAGCTTGCTACATGCTGCGTTTTCGCAATCGCCACGCTCGACAACAGACACCGGAACGGGGGCTGCGGGCGCGCGAGGGGGAAACGCCAGCAAAAGTGCTAACGCTGGAATTCAAGTCGGCGACAGCTCGCAAGTGACACATGCATGGGTTAATGAACCCGTCCAAGTTCTACTTCCAACTGCATTGATCAAAATACAAGCCAATGACGGTACAGATCACATCATGCGAGCCTTACTAGACCAAGGCTCACAAACATCTTTAATAACAGAACATGCAGCCCAGCTCCTTAAATTACCTAGAACGAGATGCAAGGGAATCGTTTCAGGTATAGGAGACAAGGAGAGCAACTGCAAGGGTGTCATCAGTGTAAGGTGTTCATCAATGGTCAGTGACTTTACATTTAAAACTGATGCTCTTATAATGAAACAACTTATCAAACACTTACCAAATCAAACATTTACCAAACCAGATTGGTCGTACCTACATCATATAAGACTGGCTGACCCTGAATTCCATTTAAGCCGGCCGGTAGATATTTTGCTAGGTGCCGACGTATACTCAACTATCCTAATGGATGGTATCTGCAGAGCAAGTTCATCCCTCCCGACAGCTCAACAGACACAGCTCGGGTGGATTCTGAGCGGCAACGCAAAAACTTTTCAATGCAACGTCGTTCTACAGAACATAGATGAAATTCAGAAGTTTTGGGAGATAGAGGAGGTAGCTGAACAATCAGAGCTATCCTCCGAAGATCAGCAATGCATCGACTTCTATCAGTCAACCACACAAAGAAGGGAAGACGGAAGATACGAAGTTTGTTTACCATTGAAACCAAATTATCAGGAGAAATTAGGGCATTCAAGATCAAAAGCCATAGCACAATTTTACAGATTAGAACAAAAGTTATCAAAAGACAAAAATATCGATCAAGAATACAAGTTATTCATAAACGAGTACATTTCGCTCGGACACCATGATACCTGCTGACGACAACATTCCTCGCCTTACATGTCATTTACCTCACCATTGCGTCATACGCGAACAATCAACTACAACAAAATTACGAGTTGTATTCAATGCCTCCAATAAAACATCATCAGGACTAAGTTTGAATGACGTAATGTGCCGAGGACCAAATCTCCAACAGGACATTCAGAACCTCATCATCAAGTGGAGACAACATCGTTTCGCGTTTACAGCTGATCTCGAAAAGATGTTTAGACACATCTGGCTGAGTGAAAAAGACCAAGACTTGCAGAGGATCATGTGGCGTGATCATCCTACAGATCAGCTTAGGGAGTACAAACTATCCACTGTTACTTACGGGACGAAAGCAGCGCCATTTCTTGCCATGATGACGCTTAAACAGTTGGCTCAGGATGAAAGGCCGAACTTTCAAAATAGTTCAGCTCCAAGCGTCCTCGAGGAGTCCTTCTACATGGATGACCTAATCCATGGTTCACATTCGCTAGAATTAGCTAAGCAATTGCAAAACGATATGATCAATCTTTTAAAATCAGGAGGATTCCATCTACGAAAATGGAAGTCCAATGCACCTGAACTTCTGGAAGGTGTACATGCTGACCAGAAACCTCAAGATTATGACTTTAAACAAGCAGAATCCACAAAAACTTTAGGACTCGGATGGAATCCCGAACAAGACCATTTCATCTTTCAACCACAGATTCCCATATCAGCATCAAAAATTACTAAGAGATCACTGTTGTCAGACATATCAAAGATATTTGATCCCTTAGGCTGGCTCGCGCCCCTCACAATAAAGCTGAAAATACTATTTCAAGATGTATGGAAGGCGAATGTTGAGTGGGACGAATCAGTATCATCAGATATCAGCGAAAAGTGGATAAAGATCAAATCAGAAATAGACATCATCAACCAATACCAAATACCGCGGTGGCTGCAAACGAAACACAGAGATCGCATTGAACTACATGGTTTTTGTGACGCAAGCAAGAAAGCTTACGCATGCGTCATTTATTGTAAAATAATAAAACCAAACAATGAATCATCAGTAACATTAGTTGCGGGGAAAACAAAATTAGTCCCACTCAACAAAACTACGTCACTGCCTCGTTTAGAGCTTTGTGGGGCAGTATTACTATCAAAACTTACTAATAAAGTCAAAGAATGCCTAAGTAATCACGTCATCACCGTCTATGGCTGGGTCGATTCCATGGTAGTACTAGGTTGGCTCAATGGTGACGCAGATAGATGGAAACCTTTTGTTGCCAACCGAGTCAAACAAGTCGTGTCGTCGATGGACCCCAGTTGTTGGCAATATATCAAATCAGAGGAGAACCCTGCAGACTGTGCCAGCAGAGGCCTGACCCCATCACAGCTCAAGGGTCACTCTCTGTGGTGGCAAGGCCCTATGTGGCTTAAATCAATAAATACCTACAAACCAAAAGATGAAGAGAAGCAATCATATATCACTAATCAGGACCTGAAACAAACCAAACAAGTTAATGTAACACAAATATCAACAGGAAGTGAGATCATAGAACAGATGTTAGAGAAGCAAAGCTCAGTATTTATTGATTTAAGCCACATAGGGCCTTGCCACCACAGAGAGTGACCCTTGAGCTGTGATGGGGTCAGGCCTCTGCTGGCACAGTCTGCAGGCTTCTCCTCTGATTTGATATATTGCCAACAACTGGGGTCCATCGACGACACGACTTGTTTGACTCGGTTGGCAACAAAAGGTTTCCATCTATCTGCGTCACCATTGAGCAAGAATTTCCTGAGGAAATAATCAATTTATCTAACAACCAAAGTGTAAACAAGAAAAGCAAAATATATAATTTATATCCTACGTTAGACGAAAACAACATATTACGCGTCGGTGGCCGACTCAGAACTGCAAACATGAATTCTGAGATGAAGCATCCGGCTATCATACCAAGCCGTACCAGACTGGCAGATCTTATCATAGATCAAGCGCATGAATCCACATTCCATGGTGGGGCCCGCCTGACTACGGCCTTCATACGTCAAAGGTATTGGCTCCTTGGCGGAAACAATGCCACTAAAAAACGTTTACGACTATGTGTCAAGTGCAGGAAGCATAGTCCTAGTCAACAACATCAACTCATGGGTGACTTACCCTCATCAAGAACAAATCCTTCACGCCCTTTCTATCACTGCGGAGTAGACTACACAGGTCATGTAGCTATTAAAGCAAGTAAGGGTCGTGGGATCAAAACCACCAAAGGATATGTAGCAGTTTTTGTTTGCATGTCCACCAAGGCTGTACACCTGGAGCTGGTCTCAGATTTAACGGCCTCCGCATTCCTTGCAGCATTACGCAGAATGACGGCCCGGAGAGGAGTTCCAGGTCACATCTACAGCGACCAAGGTACCAACTTCATAGGAGCTAACAACATTCTACAGCAAGAATTAGCACAGCTACAAAGCTTCTTCAATCAAGAATTCATGACAGAGGTAGCTAATATGGGCATAGAATGGCATTTTAACGCGCCGTCTTGGCCATCCGCAGGTGGTCTATGGGAAGCCGCAGTAAAAAGCCTAAAATACCACATGAAGCGAGTGATCGGCGAGCAGAAGCTGACATTCGAAGAATTTACCACTATTCTCACTCAATTAGAAGGCTGCCTTAATTCTCGCCCTCTCTGTCCACTCACAGAAGATCCAGACGAACTAGATTATTTGACACCTTCTCATTTCTTATCTAGTGGACCTTCTTTAATCATATATGATACTGAAACAGACTTGCGAACAAGATGGCATCTCACACAAAAGATATTCAATGACATCTGGAGTCGCTGGCGCAGTGAGTATCTTACTCAACTCTCAACAAGGAGTAAATGGAGACAGCCAGAAACTAACATTCAATTGAACGATGTCGTTATAATCAAAGATGACAACTTACCAGCAGGAAAGTGGGCTTTAGGTCGTGTTGTACAGCTACACCCTGGAGCGGACGGCTATACAAGAGTCGTCACCCTTAAAACAAAAAATGGGTTCATCAAGCGGCCCATAATCAAACTATCCATTTTACCAGTACATCAAGAGGAAAAACAAATCTCTAAAACAGAGAAACAAGAAACAGAACAAGTAGAGAAATCACCTACATCATGCAAAAAGAAGTAATTTTTTATGACAATGTACTTATCATTAATGCTACTTTTGTTTTTCGTTTCGCCGATCAGCTGTTCATACAATATAACTTCATTACCTAATAACAACAGTTTATTCTTCGATCACATTTCAAACGTCAATTTGATACGAGACGACTGGCGCCTCATCGTCTACTATGACACACAACCTTATCAAGATGGAAATGAAGCGCTAGCAAAATACATGAAGTACCTAGAAGATTTATGTTCAAGGATCCCTATTCAAGCATACTGTTATGGGATCGTATTACAGTTTCGTCATGAGGTGACTGAACTGCAACATTATAATAACATATTAATGAGTCACAACCACAACATCAATGAACCCACAGGACATCGACGACGACGTGGTCTAATTGACGGTGTTGGCTCTATTGCAAATACCCTTTTTGGAGTCTTAGATCAAAATTTTGCAGAAAAATACGAACAAGACATTGACCTTATCAGAAAAAATCAAAAACATTTGGCAGCACTTTGGAAAAATCAGACTTCAGTAGTCGAAGCGGAGTTCAATCTACTGAAACAAACAGAAAACATCATTGACCAAAATCACAAATTAATTAACAAGAAATTCAACGCTATAGAACAATCAGTAAATCAGATCAAGAACGAAATCCAAAATGTTTCTATCATCAATGAATTTATAACAACTTCTATAATGGCCAATAACATCTTATTCCGTTTAAAGGACATTCAGCAGACCTTACTAGATACTATCACCAATATCTACAATGGAAAATTCAATTTTCATCTGCTTCCACCAGACCAGTTGAGACAGGAACTCAGCGTCATCGCCGGACAGCTTCCGAAGGACCTGTCTATACCTATCAACAACTTTGGAGACCTATCAGAGATTTACAACCTCTTAAAAGTCAGAGCAAGGATCACAAACAATTACATCATATTTGAAATAAAAATCCCTCTAGTCAGTGGCGATTTATACGAAGTTTTAAAAATTATACCTATTCCTCACTTAACAACAAGTAATCAAGTAGCGGTCGTAGTACCGATAGCAAATTACGTCGCTATCAACTTGAATAAAGATGCGTTTTTTACCGTGACTGATCAAGAGTTAAAGTCCTGCTTGCAAAGGAACTCCCAAACGATGCTATGTCACATCAAGAGACCAATATTTCACATTACCAATGATCAAAACTTTTGTGAACGTTTGCCTACAACAAAACACTGCAAAACAATCACAAGTCCATGCACCAACAGATGGGAACAGCTGAATAAAATCAATTCATATTTATATTTTTGCTGCGAACAGTGCTTATTAAAGCTCCTATGCGACGATCAAGTTTCAGCGATACAAATGACTCACTCGGGATTCTTTACTGTCGACCGAGGTTGTACTATTAAATCAACTGACTTCTTTGTCTACTCACATAGGCAAGATGTCAGCAAAATTAGTATACACTCTAAAATTGATTCACCAGATATTTCACCAATAAATCATCTGATCAATGTCTCAATACCACACATTATTATATCTACCAATCAATCAGATCAGATAGATCACAATATGAAACTTCAGAAGATCGAAGAAAGCATAAAAACCATGAAAGAAAGTCCAGCTTTGTATGACGGAGTATCCTTTCATTCATGACGTTCATCACTATGCGGCCATATACATATTAGTCGGCATCATCGGAGTCGCTGGCGTTTATATTTTGTGACGCCAGGCGTCGTGTGGGCGTGGCGGCGCTGCAGGCGCGCGGGAGCGAGCGCCGCGCCGGCCCCAGCGGCGGCGCCTGCGCCGCTCCCAGCTCCGCGAGACAGTGTGCAAAGTGTTCAGTGTAGTGCGTCTAATGATGTTTATAGTGTAGTGCGCGAAGTTCCTAATACAAGTGCGCGAGTGTTAAAACAAAACAAGTGCTCGTCCCCTGTAGTGCTTCGGTCCGTGTTCAGCATTTCGGATGAGCGCAAAAATTAGTATATAGGAGTAAAATTGTCAATCACTTTGTAATTCATTACAACACTAACACTGGAAAACACATAGCATAATTAGCATAAGAAACAAATTGTCTCACCCTTGTAATCATATCAGCATCTCATTACTCCTACTAACCTCATCTTTCTCGCCCGGGAATATGTACGGGCAAGCACGTACATTACGCCGCATCATCAATATTTTGACCTACTTTGTAAATACGCGTCATACATCATACCATTAAGTCGCGCGTTCTTACCTTACCATCAAAATCCATATCTAGCGTATCAGTTTAGAATACAAGTTATTTTTACCTCACAAACACTTCTATCATTCCAAATCAACCCTATCAAATCATATATACGGCAACCCCGTACAGTTCCTTACGCCTATTGTAATACGGTTTTAATTCCCTTAACTCGATTTGTTCTGGCCATCCGTCTCTAATAAACATTAAGATTCTACCTAAAATGGGATCCCGTTGCGTTTGACGTTTAATAGTATTATGATCTAACAATAATTCATTTTGAGCAAAATGTAAAAATGTTTGTTCGGGAACGTCATGCGATGAGTCACTAGTCACACTATTCTGTATAGGTAGTCGAGACAGGCCATCGGCACAACCATCGGCGCCATTATCTATTGTATTTACGTATTCGATATCGTAAGTATAAGCCGATAATATAATAGCCCAACGTTGCATACGGCTGGCCGCCATCGCTGGAATCCCATGTTTCGGCCCGAAAATACTAACAAGTGGTTTATGATCCGTCCTTAAAGTGAAATGCCTACCATAAATATATTGATGTAGTTTTTGTAAACAGAAGACAATGGCCAGCGCAGCGTTGCCAGACGTCCCGATTTTTAAATCAAATTTAAATGTCCCGCGCGGGACAGGCTTGGTCCCGCTTTTCGGAGAGTGACACTCACTTCACCAGACTATCGTTTGAAACGCCATATTATTCTAAAGAATATTTTTTTTTATTTCGATTTTTGTTTTTTTTTTCTTTTTTTATTCTAAAGACGAATTTAACGACAGAGTAAATCTGATTTAAAATATTATTTTTTTGTTAAAATAAATTTTCCATGGCTACTTTTGCTATCTACTGTCACGTAAACGTAATTTTAAGTCAAATAAAAAGAAAAATATTTGAAAACCTTTGATTATACTTATACGTTTTTTTACTACGTCCCGCTTCTGACGGAAGAATCCCGCTATTTTCACTCAAAAAGTACCAAAGTCCCGACTTGGCGAAAAAAAAAACTGGCAACGCTGGGCCAGCGCCTCCCTGTCTATTTGCGAGTAATGCCGCTCGGCCTCCGAGAGCGCGCGCGAGACGTACACGACCGGGCGCTCGCCGCCGCCGGGCGCGCGCGCAGGCTGCGTCAGCACTCCGCCGATGCCGCGCGCACTCGCGTCGCACGTCAACACTAAGGGCTTACCTTGATCATAATGAGCTAACACTTCTGCACCTGTTAGAATCTCTTTCACCCTAACAAAAGCTCTTTCACACAGATTACTCCACTTCCAACTGACATTCTTTTTTAATAAATCGTATAACGGAAATAAAATAGTGCTCAAGTTATTTACGAATTTAGCATAAAAATTGACTAAACCTAAAAATGATCTCAATTCAGTTACATTGCTTGGCCGAGGAATCCTTACGATTGCGGCAACTTTTTCAGGGTCTACTTTAATGCCGTCCTTAGAAATTACGTATCCTACGTATTTAACTTCTTCCGTCAGAAATAAACATTTGCTTTTCTTAAGTTTCATGCCGTGGGAATGCAATCTATGAAGTACTTTTTCTAGCGTAGCTAAGTGTTCTAAAACTCCCCCTTTTGTACCTACAATTACGTCATCTAAAAATACTTCTACACCTGGTATATCACCAAGAAGGGTGGCCATAATACGTTGGAAAATCCCGGGACTCGAAGCTAGGCCAAATACAAGTCTATTGTATTTAAACAACCCTCTATGAGTGTTAATTACTGTGAGATCTTTTGAATCATCTAACTCCACCTGATTGTAGGCCTGTGATAAATCTATCTTCGAGAACAATGTGGCTCCATTAAGACTAACTAACAGATCATCTATTTTAGGCAACGGGTATCTATCGATCAGCAAGACGGGATTTAAAGTTATTTTATAGTCGGCACAAATTCGAAGGCCCCCATCTGATTTACGAACCGGAACCAGCGGCGTCGCCCAGTCCGAGCTGTCCACAGGCTCAATGATGCCGTCGCGCAGCATGGCGTCCAGCTCCGCGTCCACGCGCTCGCGCAGCGCGTACGGCAGCGGCCGCGCCCGCGCGAACACCGGCGCCGCGCCCGCCCGCACCCGCAGCCGAGCCTTGCCTCCCGTGAACCGCCCGAGCCCACCGCTGAACAACTCTTTATACCTGTCGATTAACATTGTAACATTACTACAGGGCTGCTCAGTGCTACGACTAAAGTTCAAATCACTCTGATAGATCGGAATTTTTACACCTAACTCTGATAGCCATTGTCGACCCAACAGGGCCGTGGTGCCCCCATCTATTACAAATAACTCTAAGTGTTTAGTCTTATTAGCATATTTCACTTCAGGTTTTATGAATCCCAACGGTCTTATAACACTACCGTCATAAAATTTAAAAATGTAATTGTTTTTCTCTATAGGTCTTGATTTAAAATACTTGTTATAGGTGGCTTTGCTTATGCAAGATACTGCCGATCCTGTATCAATCTCCATTTTAAGTAAAGTATTATCAATGATAACTGATAAGCTTACCGGTTTATAACCGTTTAAACAAAGCTGGTGTAATTCTTCAATTTCTTCTGAAGAAGTTTCCTCTTCGCACGAACCCTCAGCATGAGTTTCCGCGTGATGTAGGCTTTCCCGCCTATTTTCCGCTCTTTTCATCCTTTGGGAACACATGCGTCGTAGATGGCCGCTCCGTTTGCATTTACTACAAATATAATTTTTGTAACGACACTCCTCGTTGGTATGGCCGGCGCCGCCACACACGCTGCACTTGCCGCTCCCGCCGCGCTGGCCGGCGTGCGGGCGCGGGCGCTGCCAGCCGCCGCGCGCCGCGCTCACCGCATGCACCGTTCCCGCCACAGCTGTACCCGCTGTCGCAACCGGTTCCACTATCGCTGCGTCCCGCTCCGCCGCTTCCAACGCACACGCTATTTTGACTGCCCCCGTGTATTTTAGATCGTCTTCCGCGAATAATCTTTGTCGTATCACCTCACTTTTGACTCCACAGACTAATTGATCCCGTAAATTATCTTCCAGGTTGCTACCGAAATCGCAGTATCTTGATAAACTTTTTAACACTGTTATATATTGTGAAATGCTCTCGTCACTACTTTGTCGCCTCTGTCGAAAACGGTAACGTTCCGCCATTATGGATGGTTTCGGTTGGAGGTGATTGCGTAAAACTGTAACCGCATCTTGATAGGTCATCTCTGCAGGTGTTCTAGGGCTGGATAAGTTACTTAACAGCTCGTACGCTTCATCTCCCATACCGGTAATTAACGTAGGTAACCACAACTCCTTATCCACTTTGTTCACTTTAAAATACATCTGCAACCGTTCAATGTACTTACATCGTCCAATTTCCAGTCTTCACATCAAACTCAGATATTTTTCCTACAGACATGATGTTGTGCTATATTATTACGCCACACACTGATTAATCCTCGATCGCCAATGAAATATCTTGGGATTAGCGGAGCAATTAAACGTAAACGTATGAACGATTCCACGGTTTATTGTCAACTGGCACACACACATAAAAACAGTCTACCTGCATACAACAATACTTATTAATATTGAGTTACCTACATTACATGTGTGAGCGTGTGTGAAATACTTCAATTGTGCACCGTTTTATCATCGGTCGTTGAAAGAACAGGTATGTTTTCATGTCAATAATTTAAATTGGGGAGGCTAAATCGCGACGCCGTTTTTAAAGGCGTCGTGAGCTAGCCTTCCCAATTTATTTACTACTCATGTGTGGTGTGTATATGTGGTGTGTATGTGTTTGTTATTATTTATTTAATAATTTTTCCGTTTCTTCATAGTTCTGGCTCAAAAGCCATTTAGTAATTAACTTTTTAACTTCCGATTTAGATTTAGAATAGACTAGCGGCCGCCCGCGACTTCGTACGCGTGGATCCCGTTTTACCCCCTTCATCTATCTTACGCGGTTTAAATTTTTTAATACAAATGTTTTTTCCCGCTAACTCCCGTTCCCGTGGGAATTTTGCAACATCCTGTTGTAACTAAGCTTTAAGTTTACTAAGGTACCTGCATGCCAAATTTCAAGCGGTTTAGATTTTTCATACACATTCATTTCATACATTTCGCTTCGTGTTTTTCCGATGTATATGAAAATAGCGATAAGCTCGATACTTTGCGACCAACTATCCCTGACAATCCTGATTCACATTGCTTAAATAGCATATCTTTTTCGAAAGATGCCGTTGAAAGGGTTTTAAAAAGACTTGACCCACATAAGGGAGCAGGGTCAGATGGTATACCCCCTATATTTGTTACTCATTGTAGTGAATACTTAGCTGAACCTCTAAGCATAATTTTTAACTTTTCTGTTTCTACAGGCCAGTTCCCATCTGCATGGAAGGAGGCGCTAGTTATTCCTATACACAAATCGGGTGACAAGTCAGCAGTAAAAAACTATCGTCCTGTTTCTATCTTGCCTGTATTTGGAAAGGTTTTTGAGGTTTTGATTCATCCCATTTTATATTGGCACGTAAAAAACACTCTCATACCTGAGCAACATGGCTTCATGAAAGCCAGATCAACCTCAACAAATTTAGTCTGTTTCATGTCTGACTTGGTTGAATCGGTGGATCGTGGCACTCCTGTTGACGTTATATACACGGACTTCAGCAAGGCGTTTGACAAGGTGGACCATCAAATCCTTGTTGACAAGCTTTATCACTTTGGTATCACAGGAAACTTGCTGAACTGGNTGTTTTTTTAATTTTATAATGTTTATGAAATATTGTGAAATTTTTTGAGAAATAATAAAACATTAGCCTATAAATGCTAACGCCAATATAACATATGAAGTGTAGTGTGTGACGGTACTTGTAGAATTGAATATGATAAAAATAAATATTTAAAAACCCAACATAGTAATGTACAGTGATGAGTTTGGTACAGACATGGGCCAATTGATTAATAGTTACTTGGGACAAAGTGTAATCAACCATTGTTTACCGGGTGCTGCTTTCTATTTAGAAATTAAGCGAAAAATAACAAATTATTGTTTTCCAATAAATATCATATATTATATTAGTCATTTTAATAGGAAATAGGGGCAATGTGGGCAAAAAAAAGACCTACTAAACATTTTTGATAGCCTATGCTTACTTAATGTAGATAAAATTATTTTGTTCGTATTCTCCTTCAATTTCTGGAAAATAATCTATATCTATATATATAAAAGAAAGTCGTGTTAGTTACTCCACTTATAACTCAAGAACGGCTGAACCGATTTAGCTGAAAATTGTCGGGGAGGTAGTTTATAGCCAGGAGAAGGACATAGGATACTTTTTATCCCGTTCGAAATAAAAAAAGTCTGCTTTTTTATTGCCATTAAGGCGGAACAAAGTTCGCCGGGTCAGCTAGTTTTAGATATAAATTAAGTTTAATTGACATTGAATACATTGACATAATATAATCAATGCAAATTCCATATAATTGACATAAACAATTATTTGAAAAATAAATTTATATTGACAACAGATAACTACTATCTGAATAAATATTGTAAAAGACTAGTAGCAAATTCGCTATGCTAACAAAACTGCTTTTATTGAGCAGAACATGGATGTTCGACCCGACGACGTATCAAAGGCGTTTGACAAAGTTCCATCTTTTGGAATCCCTGTTGGCTTATGCAAATGGATCTCCGATTTTCATGTTGGACGATCAATAAGAGTAGTCCTCGATGGCTTCACTTCAAGTCAGCAACCGATTAAAGCTGGCGTCCCTCAGGGATCGGTGCTGTCTTCAACACTATTTCTACTGCACATCAACGATCTGCTCAAAGCCGGTACCTTTGGGTATGCAGATGACACAACAGTCACAGCCAAATATCTATCCATGGCAAAAGCCAGCAAGCGTGAGGTCAAGTCTTGTCATGAGTTCCTTATTAAACGCTTAAATTTGGCTCTTCAGGATGTCTCTGATTGGGGCGATGCCAATCTGTTCCAATTTAACGTGTCCAAAACACAAGTCCATTTCGTATGGCTCCAATATTCCGAGGTGTGCATGTTAAAATCACCGATCGACTTCAACTTTTGGGCATTGAAATATCCAGCAAGTTGAACTTTGGCGAGCACATCGAATCCTTAGCGAAAACTGCTAGCAAAAACTTGGTATCCTCTCGAGAGCAAGGCAGTACTTCTGTAAGAAACAAAGGCTGCAGTTATACATACCTACATATAAATCACATTTTGGCATTGAAACATTTGGCTGCTTTGGATTCGGTGGAAAGGCATCGCATGATTTTCGCTGGTTTTCAGAATAGATAAACATGCGGTCAGTGTTTAATTTATTAATTGATAACTAACGAGATCACTACTTAAGAATTCTTGAAAATCTAGTATATTAGAGACCAGACCAAGGCGACCTAGAGCATTTCAAGTACGTCGTAATTATTACAAAGAATATGGATGAGGAAGCATTTAAAATTAGATTCAGTTTGTCAAAACCTTCTGCACTGAAAATACTAAAACTGATAAAGAATAAAAGTGCTTTCTAAAAGCCTACTTGCAAAAATAAAATGAGTTTTTATGACTTTTATTTTTTTCTTAAAAGCTCCAGGGAAAGTTTAGGCCATAAGTAGGTTAAGATAACAATACATCAAAATGAAAATATCACACAAAAAATCAAATGTACTTAAGTTCCACTTTTGAAACCCCGCACAATCAGCTTCCTTAAAAATATTTAGGTAGTACAATACTTGAAGACATTGTCAACCGTATCTACAAAAATACTCGTAGATAACAAATAACAACACGTTAAGACGACGGTCGTTTAGGCCATAAGTAGGTTTAGATAACAATACATCAAAACTAAAATATCACACAAAAAATCAAGTGTACTTAAGTTCCACTTTTGAAACGCCGCACAATCAGCTTCCTTAAAAATATTTAGGTAGTACAATACTTGAAGACATTGTCAACCGTTATCTATAGTCTGGTCCGGGAGCACGTAGAATATTGTCCAATGACCCCAAGCTACCCATCCTTATCGCTCGCGCTTAATTATGTTGCTGTCACGCTCGCACACTCACTGCGGGCGCCCGTCGCACAGTCGTAGATAACAAATAACAACACGTTAAAATAATCCTTTACAATTTTACAATACCCAAACAAAACAATTAGTAAACTACCACCTGAATCATAACAATTTCTAGATAATGTGCGATTTAAAGTGACCACTTAAACCCTTTTTAGAGATAATGACCTTTACAATTTTCCAGGTAATGTGTAACAACAATACTGGGCTAATCTTTTTTTGTAGATATTTGTTCTCAGCCAAGACCTTTTTAACACCACGTGACCACCATTAGTGTTTTAGAAGTATCTACTTGGCTTCTATTAAGAATTTACGTTTATAAAGCATACATAGAAACAATGAAATATTCGACAATTTTAATTTTATATGTTTCTGAAGTAGTTTAATGTGAATTATTCTTTTTAATATTTTGCGAAATAAAAAAAGTTTATGAATGATAGTGCAATATATTCAAGGACACGCTTTTATTTTTGAATAAATAGTTTTATACTTGTAGTTTCTTTTTATTTAAATAAATAAATAAATAAATAAATACAAAAGGATTTTCCCGCTAATTCCTGTTCCCGTGGGAATTCCTAAGTATACTATAACCTGCCCAGGAGTATGCAGAATAATTGTACCAAGTTTCGTTAAAATCCGTCGAGTAGTTTTTGTTTCTATAAGGAACATACAGACGGACAGACAGACAGACAGACAGACAGACAAAAATTTTACTGATTGCATTTTTGGCATCAGTATCGATCACTAATCACGCCCTGATAGTTTTTTTGAAAATATATTTCATGTACAGAATTGACCTCTCTACAGATTTATTATAAGTATAGATGTTCAAAATTTTATTTGCTTGGTTGTATAACTTTTTGCCCAGATAACAAAAAATCTCTTAGCAAAGACTGTTCGAAATGATTCTAATGTAACTATGTTCAAACGTCTTCGAGTATTCACTACTTGGCTATTATAATAAGTGAGGGAATGCTGTCTCATTAAGCTCAAAAGAATAAATAATTGCCTTACAGTCAAAACTTCTGCTTCATGATACAGAGCAGTGGTAGGGTAAAGTCTAGATAGATAGAATCAGAATCAGAATCAGAATTTTATTTGCGTAAAAACATGGTATATAAAGATGTTACATGGTATATATAGAATTCAGTAGTGCACATGTTTCGCCATTACAAATAGCATGCAAAATTACAAAATTACATTTCAGTCAGTTAATTAATTATTTATATTATAATAAGTATAGCAATTTAATTTTACATACATTAATATTAGGTTTTGATGTCAATAAAATCTTTAATGTCATATATTCTTTTGTCAATAAGCCATTTATATAATTTTGATTTGAATTGGTTAATATTTAATTGTTTAATGTCATTAGGGATATTATTATATATCTTTGTACACATTGTTAGGCAACTTTTAATGGGGGAATTATAAAACGATCGACTAAAAATAACTTAGCGACTGATGATGGCATACTGTTTTAATAAATTGAGCGGTATGAATTTGAGTAAGCGAAAAATTAACTTAACTAACGACGAATATTGATTAATAATCAAATGCAGAACGAGTTTACAAAAAGTGGGTTATGTTTAATCCATTTTAGATATTAAAATTCTATCCGTGCGATTACATTACTAAGTGAGCGACTAGAAATACAAAGAGGGCAACTTCAATATTAAGATGGATTCGATTTTTTCCAATTGAAGTTATTTTTAACGAACAACTAAAAAGTTCACTTCCAGCAAAGTTTTGTAAGCTGCATTATTAATGACTAGCGGCCGCCCGCGACTTCGTACGCGTGGATCCCGTTTTACCCCCTTCATCTATCTTACGCGGTTTAGATTTTTTCATACAAATGTTTTTTCCCGCTTACTCCCGTTCCCGTTGGAATTTCGCAATATCCTGTTGTAACTAAGCTTTATGTTTACTAAGGGACCTGCTTGCCAAATTTCAAGCGTCTAACTTAAGCGGTTTAGATTTTTCATACAAAAGGATTTTCCCGCTAATGCCCGTTCCCGTGGGAATTCCTAAGTATCCTATAACCTGCCCAGGAGTATGAAGAATAATTGTACCAAGTTTCGTTAAAATCCGTCGAGTAGTTTTTGTTTCTATAAGGAACATACAGACAGACAGACAGACAGACAGACAGACANAAAAAGGCTAAGCTGCGTTCCACGTATACCGAATTTTTTGGAGTTTATTTATGAGGATGGAATGCGAAACCGTGTCGAACGCCTTTTTAAGATCTAGAAATATAGTAAGGCATTTCATGTTACTATCCAAATTTCTTGCCGCAAAATCCACGAATTTATTAACAGCATCATCAGTAGACTTGCCTTTGCGGAATCCAAATTGTGAATCCGATAACAGCTTGTTTGATTCGAGATAGTCCGTTAGTCTGTTGTTCATAGCGCGTTCGAAAACCTTTGATAGTGATGTTAGAATGGATATGGGACGGTAATTGTTTACGCAGTCTTTCTTGCCGGATTTGTGGATAGGGTGAAGAATTGATTTTTTTAGTGCTGAGGGAAAAACTCCAGAATTGAAGCATCGGTTTATTAGATCTGTCAATGGGGGAACAATAATTTTCGTATTGTTTCTCAAAACTTTTGCTGGGATGCAGTCATTCCCGGGAGCACAGTCTGCTTTCAGATTCAGTAATATGGATTCAATTTCTTTTTCGGTCACATCTAATAGAACAAAGGAGTTGATGTTAGTTGGTGCTGAGTTACTTAACGAATTTTGGTGTGTAAAAGATGGGATACTATCAGCTAGAGTCTTGCCCACATTTGCGAAAAAATTATTAACGCTATTTATTGAATCGCGGGTATTGTTTTTAATATTTAGTAGATCATGTGCACTATTTTTTTGTTGATTTAGGCTTGTAACGGTTTTAATAGTTTTCCATAGTTTTTTACTATTATTTTTAGCTTTTTCTAGCTCTTCTTTATCATATTGTCTTTTAATTTTTCGAAGTAAATTATTGCAAAAATTTCTATATCTTATGTATGTTTTTTTAAGTATGTCATTGTTGGGTTCTATTTTTAACTTTTTGTGCATTTTATCCCTAGATCTTATGCAGCGTAATAGGCCAGAGGTTATCCACGGCTTGATTTTTAATTGACTACGAGAACATTTATAAATAATTGTGTTTTGCCGGACTATTTCAGAGATGGTGTTTACAAACAAATTCGTGGCTTTATTCAAATCATTTTCAGCATAAACCGAGTCAAAATTAATATTAGAAATGGCCTGGTTTATTTCGTTATGATTATGTTGGTTCTTCTGCTAGCCTGGGATGCGCGCCCTTTTGTCGATTTTTGACGATAAGCCCAAATATTTGTCGTCTACAATCGACAGATTATATCGTGCGCGCCACGCCATCCTAGACCGGTTGGTCCCTATATTATGAGAGATTCCTACGCGTGCCATAGAGTCCGCACAACTCGCGGAACCACATCACTATTCGATTTAGAATGATTTTGAGAGAGAACATTAATCGCACGCTTCGTGTTGATGAGGACTCAACCTAAGGGACTAGTTGAACAGGCGCGCAGAACATTGTGTTTCGGGCGCAATAATTTGTTTCAGATTTTTTGCAACTGCTCAAGAAACCCATTGTTCTGTTATGAAATGTGCCTTAAGCAATGAGGGTTTTCGCGTATGAAAAATCCGCCAGATGGCAATACTAATGGTCACGCGAGGTCCAAATGCTGCATGATTGGTTATTTTTGACATGACTGACAGATATGTCAAAATCCACCAATCACGCAGCAGTCAGACCCCACATCCACGTCCCGCCATCTAGCGGATCTTTCATACGCGAAAACCCTCATTACATTACGTGCTATGTTGCACCACTAACATAGCTCGATGTGATCAGTGTACGAGGTTATTTCCTTCCAGATGCGGTCGGTGGGCCGCGGCGAGGTGCTGGTGTCGCTGTGCTGGCAGCCGGCCGCCGCGCGCCTCACCGTGGTACTGCTCAAGGCGCGCAACCTGCCCAAGATGGACGTCACCGGACTCGCTGACCCGTTAGTATTATAAAAGAACAAAATAACACGTCTTGGCGCTTTTCATTGCAAAAATAAAATCAATATAAAAACAATCATAGATATAATATAGCTATTGTTCTCATAATCATAGATGTTGTATATGTTCTTCTGATTAATTTCGTTGCGGGTCCAATGACAGTTTAACTTTCCCCCGGGACAAACTTGACCTTCATTGGTTGGGTTTTTGTGACGGTCAAGCTGTAGATCCTGGCTTCACAGGAGTTGCATTGGTGGGAACGAGAGGTGGAAATAGTCCCATATAGTTATAATATAGCGCATAACTGAATCGTTTTCTGCAGTTTAGAGCGGTGCTGGAGGAGGTTTTTGTTACCCATTAACATGGGTAACGCAAGACACGTCACCTCTCCTGCACCGCTCTTCTATCGCAGAAACTCCGTCAGAACTACTCAGACAGANAAAGTAGGTAGCCCTGCCCCATGTTGATGAAACGAACGCTGGCCGTAACAGCGTATTAGACTTGGACGGTTTTAATCAGTGTCTTAGTAGTTCAGATAGTTAAGAAAGAACAGTCATTCGGCAAGTGAAAAGTCGTGCGTTCGATTCCCACTTAAGGC